GGATGGTCCAAAAGAGTGATGTTATTCTCTTGGAAGAACTCCTTTGTCAGGCGGGCATTGTGAACTGCAGCATTGTCCTGTTGAAAAACCCAATCATCACCACACAGACGAGGGCCCTCAGTCATGAGGGATGCCCGCTGCAACATCTCCACATGGCCAGCTGCTGTTTGACGCCCCTGCACAACCTGAAGCTCTATTTTTCCATTGAAGGAAAACGCAGCCCAAATCATGATGGCGCCCCCACCACTGTGCCGTGTAGAAAACATCWCAGGTGGGATCTCCTTGTCATGCCAGTAACGTTGGAAGCCATCAGGACCATTAAGGTTAATTTTTTTCTCATCAGAGAAGACAACTTTCTTCCACCTTTCAAAAGTTTGTGTCTCTTACGCTGATTTCTTCTTTTAACATTGTGAAGCTCTACTTAGAACCTTCTTAAGATCCAGTAGTGCAAAATGCAAATTCTTGCACTTTTTTGACTGGTCTTAAGATTTTGATCAGGAGTGTACATACTGAGTTGTGATTGACAAACATTCTATTCAGGTGGAAGAGATGGAATTAATATTTAGTCTGCAACATAAGCAAAGGAACTCATTGTGTTTAGTCTAGATATTTCGAGAGGTTTGCAGATGAAGACATAACTAGATGATCATCCTGGTTTGTGTTGGCAAACTATAAAAAGATATTGCTGGTTTGCTGATGTAACTGTGACARCTTCCTGCCTTTATTGCCATTTTCTGCTTGTGCAGTTATTTCTCTCTTTCCCCCTACAATTGCCTGTTTGTTGTTGCCAGGGGATTCTTAACTTGATGCGAACACCACTGCTGTCAGAGCCCATTTTAGTTACCACAGAGACCAAGCAATTAATCAGCAAGCCAAGAGAGCAAAAATTCAAATTAAACTGTATATTGCAGACCACCTGCTGGACCATCTACCCTCAGACAAATCATGCACAAACTGAGCCTTACTTGTTGAGTGGTTTACTGTGCATTTGAGGACATGTATCATTTTATTTTATATAGTTTTTAGCAAAAATAACATATAAATGTGTTTATTGTCACTCTTGTTGATTTTGGTAACACCACTTTAGTTGTTTAATTTTATTATTATATTTTTTTGTTAAATGTATCAAAATCTCTTCATCTCCATAAACAGTGGGCAGGGTTTTCACTAGTATTATCCAATTGTGCCCCCCCACTGACATGATGCACATTACCAGTCACCCACCCAACCCCTATACCACACCTCTCCAGGACTTTTGGAGTTTGAACAGCAGGGTTGATACGTTCAAAATTGTTCATAAGTCCAACTGGTGATATATTTGTACATAAGACTATAACCATTTTTAAGGAGCCGAGCAATCTCCATTCTCCGTACAACTGTAGAAGCCAGATGTTTGTGACCAAAAACAACATAAAGTCACTGGTTACTTTAGTTTTAAAACAAAGAGTTTCTCAAAACCTTTGAAAGACAAATAAATAAACCAGAATGGAGAAAGACAGCCCTGGGCTGAAGTTAAAGCCTACAAGCAAATTTATCATGCTGAGAACAGACACGTAGTTACTAATGAGCAATATTCCTGACATCTGGAACTTTCAGGAAAAATATCTTTAAACAACTTCTTTTCCTGACAAACTTCAGTGTGCTGTGGAACGCAGTGTAACAGTAATGTTATTAAAACAAGGATATTTGTTTATTTCTGCATTTAACATTTGATAATTGACGGTGATGACATGTTACAGAGATAAATAACTGCCCATGAGGACAAACTCTGTGACAAAGTGAAGAAAATAATCCAATTGCTAGATGAACTCCATTGTCCTGTGGCCATTATATTTATTATCGTCTCACCCTAATTGTCACCTGACTTTTAAACTCCCTTATCCAAATGTAAGCAGACTGCTGTCTAGAGAATCTGGTCTGCAGTCAGGGAAAGTTTCACAAAAATAGTCATGATGTGGATAGAGACGGGGCAGGAAATATACAGTAAGGGGTGACACTTTCTGCTGGACCTAAAACTAACCTAAACTCAATTCACACCTTGGTCCTAAACCCAACCCCAAACCCACCAATGACATTTAAACCAAACGGGGACTTGACCTTTGTCCCCAAATGCACCAGTTGTCCCCAAATGTAGGCATTTTGTCTAAAAATTGCCCCCAAATGTCACCAGAAACACCCCCCCCACACACACACACACACAGATAAAGCTAAGAAATGCAAAAACTGAAGCAAATGTCTTTTTCTGATTTCAGTCAGTTTTCAAGAATTTTGACACAGATGGTGACGGCCACATTTCCAGGGATGAGTTTGAGGCGATCAGGAACAACTTCCCTTACCTCAGCAAATTTGGAGAACTGGACAAGAACCAGTGAGCCACTACACATTTATCTGTGTTGTCTGTTTGATGTGTTTCTTTTTGGTTTATAAGCCTGCATGCAGTTGGCTATAGCGTTCATCTCTCTCTCTCTCTGTCTCTCTCTCTTTGTGCCTCTTTCAACAGGGATGGGAAGATCAGCAGAGAAGAGATGATAGACTACTTTATGAAAGCCAGCTCTCTGCTTAACTGCAAGATGGGCTTCATCCACACTTTCACAGAGACCACCTACGTGAAGCCCACATTCTGTGAACACTGTGCTGGCTTTGTAAGTAAAACACTGACACTTTTACAAGCTTGATTGTGATAACATTTTGACCTAAATCAACCATAGAATTAAACAAAACAGACATTGTTACAGATGATGTAATATTCCTGATTTAGTTTTGAGTAACAGATCATCAGCAGGGTCTTAGAATATTGTTTTCGCATCAACCTAACCGTATTGTGGCTTACTTATTTCCTATCTACAAAAGTATTATAAAAGAAATGTAAGATTTAAAAATAAGGTTCCTATTGAATCTAGAACTAGTAACAGTTTTACATTAATAACCGTCATTAAGACTCTGCCTGCTATTTGCAAATGAAAGTACAGACAACTTGAAGTGACTATGTGTGTATGATGTATTTTATAACAGTAGTTGTAATAATAAAACATCAAATCAGCATTTTATCCCTGCTAACCTTGGCTGGACGTGAAACGCCATGTTTGGGTTTAAAGGAACAGTATCAAAACAAGACACACCTCAGAAAAGGGTTGAAAGAGGGGCTGGTAACATTAAAAATAAAGAGGGATTTAGACCACAGCATTGTAGTTCCACTTTGTAAAGACCCCCAGCTGAATGATTTAAATGTGAAAAAATAGGGCTTTAAAAACACATGTCTGCTTTAATGCTCAGATCAATTTGTCCTGCTGAATATAGAAATTGATATCATATTCCTGTTCTGTAACATTGCAACCCTTTTGGTTGTATTTTATTACAATTTTTTTTTTGGTTAAACTTAGTTTTTCAGTGAACAGTATTTTGTTTTGTGTTTCTCTAGGAAATAAAGGCTACGTAATTTATTTCAAGCCCTTAAATAGCCCCAAATTACTTGCAGTAATAGGACAATATAGAAAGCCTTTCAAGACAGTAATACTGTGTACCAAGGGTATAATTTAAGAGACCCAGATCAGAAAATARACCGTACCCAAGCCTTGTGAAAAACAAGAGCAGTTCAGGAGCTACAWATAAAACTGTCTGTTAACCTGAGTGAACAAACAGGCAGGGCTGAGTGTGTAACACAGGATGAGAGCGCACCTGACAGAGTTGAGCACACACACACAAATTATTATTTGCTCAACTTAATATGCACAAGCACATCACAGTCACCGTTTACTCAACTTGATGGTAATACATATTTCCTGCACTGGTCTGATTTCAATTGAACTTTCAGAAATTAATTTGTTTGTATTATACATCTAATATAATCACAACATAACTTTACTTTTTTAAAAAAAAACAAAGCTTTTAGTCAACGTGCTGTACACTACTAAACAAAACTAAAACAGTAAAACAAACATTTCAAATACAAATTTTCAAAACAATAAAATTCATTAGAACAGTAAAAGTAAAAACTGGTAAAAATGATCAAACATCAAAAACCAACATTTCAAGCGGAGTTATTAGCCAAAGAAACGTAAAAGATTTAAAAATAGGAAGTGAGTTGGCCCGCAATGGCAGCTCGCTCCACAGTTTGCAGGCAACAACAGAAAAAAAAAAACATCCAATCACCTCTCAGCCTCGGCTTTGACTTTAAGACAACCGGCAGTAACTGATCTGGTGACCTGAGAGAGAGAGAGAGAGAGAGAGAGAGAGAGAGAGAGAGA